AAGACTTCGGAACGCCACCTCTAATCTACCAACCAAACGCTATCCCGCAGAACCGGGACTAGCACCAAATCTACGACTCTAACTACTGGTGGTCTTCATCGTCGCCGTCGACGCCTGAACGCCACCCAAATATCTTCTCGCTCGCCGGCCGCCGCGCGAAACTCCTTCCGCGCGCGCGCGGGCTCGCGTACAGCAGGGGATGACGAAGTGGCACCGTCCGCGAGGGGGTGACTCTTGGGCAGCACAGCGCATTAGTCAAAGGTTAGGATTTTTTGGTTGAGGTGTTCGATGTACCTATCTTGTTTAATGTACCGTGGCGGCGTGGCCGTGTCAATGCATGACTGTTTTAGGGTTACGGTTTTAGGGTTTAGTGCCGCGGGCCTTCCCATGATTGCTACAGTCTGGCATGCGTACGCGGGCGTCCAGATCGACGGTCACGAGGGCCCTCGGAGATCCAGTCGGAGTCCGGACTCGTCCGATCCGGCATCGATCGGAATCCGGATTGACTGAGGGAACTTACGCGCCGGTGGCTGCGCCGCGGCGCCGTTCCGGGCGACCACTCTGACCGACAGTGCCAGCTATAGTATGATGGACCGGTGGCCGGCAGTGACTATACCTAGTGCGGCCCGGGCCACCCGGCGCCACTGGCACGGGGGCCGCCACGCTTGTCTCCGATCCAATTATCACATGTACACTACCTATTCTTTGCCCTCTGGGCCGCTACACCGAAAGAAACCATCCCCGTCTCCGACTGGACCTCCGACTGGAAAGCAGACTCGCCTTTGTGTCCAAAATTTTTGGTGAACAGATCTGAAACTTAAAGATGGCGTGCAACAATGTGCATCTTCTGTGTTTAGTTGCATTACATTTAACGTTGGTGTCGAAAGTTGGGACCTTCACCATCGAAGAGGTGCAGGGAGCCGTGCGTGGTACGGTTTTAGACCTCAGAGGCGGGGCCTTTCGGTATAGGCTGAGAGGTTCTATTCCCCCTGCTTTGGGGAGTCTCTCCAACCTCACGTATCTAGACCTATCCAACAATGTGCTCGACGGTATGGTTCCTCCCGAGCTTGGTCAGTTGTCCAAGCTGAGGTACTTGAATCTGTCGTCCAATTATTTTTCTGGGGTGATCCCACGGGAGCTCGGGGGGCTGAGCAGCCTCGCTTATCTGGACCTTTCCAACAACAAGCGCACCTCGATTATCGGCCTGTTTAATGGTTTCAGTGGAGGGATCCCTGGAGACTTGTTCAAGCTGACGGGCCTCGTGCAGCTTTACCTGTCAAACAATGACCTCACCGGCGGCATTCCATCAGAGGTAGGCACGTTGGGCCTTCTTCAGGAGTTCAATGTGTCTGACAACAAGCTTGAGGGCCCGATCCCTCCTTCCCTTGGGAACCTCCCCAACCTGCGTGTTCTCGATCTTGAGAGCAATCTATTGGCCGGAGGGATCCCTCCTGCTCTGGGGCAGTCAAGTAATCTAAATGTTCTCAGGATATCGGGCAATCGCCTGACGGGGGCCGTAGCACCTGAGCTTGGGAAGCTTAGCAACCTTCAACGGCTTTCTTTATATAATAACCGCCTGTCGGGTTCTATACCTCCTGCACTTGGCAACCTTCAGAACCTGACAACACTTGACCTAGAGGGGAACCAGATAACTGGCTCTATTCCACCTGAGATTGGAAAGCTCAAGAAGCTCATTATACTGAGGCTAGGTCACAATGCTTTGTCTGGTCCAATCCCTGCCGATCTTATAGGCCAGCTTCCAAGCTTGGCTGGTGCTTGGTTAGGGGGCAACAATTTCTCAGGTTCGATTCCCCCAGGCTTTGGTGGCCCACGCCTGTTTTGGCTTGACATCTCAAGCAACCGCTTGTCAGGGGAGTTGCCTGAGTTCTCTTACTGGCCCCCCGTATTGAATGTCTCCAACAACTGGCTTACTGGGCTGGTTCCAGCCATTCGTCTGCAGTCGTCCCTCTCATTGGACTTTTCATCGAACGCCTTCTCTGGGTTTACCAGCGCAACACCTGGAATAAGAACCTCTAATGGGTTTTTCGGTGGATTGTTGCCTGGCTGTCTTCTCCAGAGCCTCCTTTTAGAGAAGAACAAGCCCTTGCTTACCAGCAACTTGATGTTATCTGGGTGTCCAGTTCTGAAATCCTTTGGGGTCGACATTCCCCTACCAGTGTGGACACAGCAGCTTGCCCAAGTTGCCTACTTAAGAGTTGGAGAGAGTGACGGATTGGGCGCCACGAGGAAGACCCTGGACTTGGCATCAGCTCCTAGGAGGTGCCAGTATGTGGACTGGACGGGGGGACGGCCAATACGTGATATTGTATTTTGGGATGCGTGCACGTCGGGCACTGGCTGCGTGGTGAACCTGATTGGGTCCGGTACAACAACTTTGACGAGTGAGACGCGCCGCTTTGTTTGCCTTAATAAGGTCTCTGTCTTCCTCGAAGGGGATGCGCCTGTTCTTGCTTCAAAGTCCGATATTCTCGGCAACTATGCATTTGGTGGCAATACAGACGCTATCTACATGAAAAATTCGTTCGGGACATACGACCTCGGCTCCAGCTCTTTTCTGGACGACATTGATCTAGGGCCATTTGGACGGGCTTATATCGGGGTAGGGTTTACCGGTGCCAGGCGATCTGGTAACCTGTGCAGTAACCCCCAGTCAAAAAGAGTTATCCTGGTCGCCTTTTCCCTCTTTGCGGCCGTCCTTTTCGTGTCCACCCTGGGCATGTTGGCGGTGAGCCGATGGTGGCAACGTAGGGCTCCTACGCAAACCGCGACTTCTGGCTCCCCTGGAAGGAGGCGGCTGGTTGCGGTCATAGCTTATACCTGGGGAGTCATCAGTGTCGTTGTGCCGCTAGTGGATATTGCGACGGACATTCTTGTTCTGGCAGAGGTATGGGGCGCTTGGCCGATGTATGTGGTCCTCGCGTGCGTTCTAGCGCCACTGGCGGTTGCCGGGCTCGCCGTCGCAGAGGCTTGGGTTGTGTGGGGACGACCGAAAGTTGTTCACAGAGTCGGCTTCAAGTGGGTCTGGCTGGCGCCCCCGGCTGGAGAGTCTGCCTTGCACAGTCCAGGTCAGTCCTGGCGCTTATGGGACGTGGCGTGCACTGTTATGCTCTGGCCGCTTGCCACTGCCGGCGTTATTGTTCAAGACTTCTTGGCGGTGTTGGACAAGCTGGGTTTGCGATTAACCCTGGATGGGCTCGTCGTCAGCTTTGAGGGCTACCAGGACTTCCGCATTTTGCTGGAGGTGCTGCTCGAGTCCTTTCCGCAGGTGAGTGTCAATTTTGAATCCAGAGTGTGTACAAGGCCGCAGTAACCTTGGAATAACCGCCTTGAGACGGGGCAGGTTAAAGATGGGGGTGCAAAATAAGTACGAGTGCGGAGCAGGCGTGTTTTCGACCCTTTTCGAGTTGCATTCTCATGCTAAGCTAACCCCCTTGGAACTGATGGGGCGAATCTGGGGGTTCCGTGTAGAACGGGAGCGGAGGCGGCATGTTTTGGGGTAGGAATTATTTGTAACTTTACCCTCCTTTTCCTGAAATCAATCGTTCTACTCCGCAGGCCATCTTTCAGACGGTGCTCTACCGCCTCGGCAGCTCTCGCGCGACCAATATCTACGTCGACGACCGGATCTTTGCGCAGTCGATCGGCGCCTCCCTTGTGACCATCCTTATGCAGTATTGGGTTACCTTATGGGAGTCGCTCCAGGTCGGGGACATGCCCTGGGTCACTTTCTGGAGACGTGTCAGAACGCGGAGCCGCCCGGTGATTGTGGGGGCCCTTACGGGAGCAGGGGAGGAAGTCGAGCTGTCAAACACCCTGGTGGAGAAGCCCGGGAATTTTGCCGACTGGGGCAGCGGTGAGCGGACGGCGCACACTGTGGCGCAGCCCGTCCACGAGGTGAGACGCAGTCGTTGCTGCACGCTATAACTCCTTCTACTAACCCCCTAATCTTAGTGAGAAACATACTGTAGTGTAGTCAGCCGGTTGGTGAGTGCAAACAGACTAGATTAGTTGACACTAAAACGATAAGGAGGTTGGTCGAGCAAAGAGCAGTGTATTGTGGGAGCTTTTACAGTGTCCTAATGGGGCAGTTCAGAGTCCACGCGTAAGAGTGCAGCGTACTCTCCTCGACTCCCCACGGCTGGCTGTGCACAGTCCGCAAGGTTACAAGGCTCGGTCGGTTGCTTCTGTGGCAAACGTGCTGCATGTGCTTGTCCGTTGCAGCATCTTAAAATCACTAAACTTTCGCAATTGAACTGCACTTATTCCTTGTTTGACTTCGTTTCAGGTGGGCTCGGAGCCTTCCGTCCTTTTCCCCGCCAGCCCTTCAAGTGTCAAACTCTGACCCATTTGGGGCTCCGTTGCTGGTCCGTTTATTTCCGGTGAGTCCTTTTGACACTTCTCATTGATGCTGAATCAGAAACTCGGCTTGGCTCGCATCGGCTTGCCTTCTCTCCAACTGTTGCTTGTTGAGTCGAGCGGGTCGGACAATGAATGTGTCCCTCTCTCGACAATGTCTCTTCAATTTCACTGGAGGCTTCTGCCTTTGAACGTGCTTCCGTCTAGGAATCTCTCGACCCTGGCAAGAAGGGAGAGACTCTTGTGCAACGTCGTCGATTCGAGCTCATTGCCGATCTGCCTGGCAGAGGGAGGCTTTTTGAACGACGTTTCCTCCACTCATCATTGTCATGACGGACGAAAGTTGAGCTCTCCGTTCTTCTGTACAGTTGATGGTGCGTTCGAAGGGGCTTCGAAGCTGGGGTGGGCATGCTGCCCCTCATCCATGCTGTCTTTCTGTGTACTATATGCGACGATATTGGCCAACCAAGCCTCTCTCAGGGTCGCTTCTGCACCCTGATTCGGAGGACGCAGCTGATTACGGCTTGATATATACGAGCTTGATACGAGCTCCATCGCACTGCTTCTTTGTGATTTCTGTCCGCACTGCATGAGGTGCCAGGGGCAATCAAAGCGCCATAGATTGCTGCCGTGAATTTTGAAGCTGCAGCTAGGACCAGTGCTTATGTGCAGTCTGAACGGCGATTCTTCCTTCTGGCAGGGATCCCCTCAAACTATCATGGGTTTGTCTTGAATTTCAAGCAGTGAGTATTTATTCAGGCGGACTACTAGGACCCGATGTAAGTACTCGAGTATTTTGCCAGTTGATAAGTTTGTGCGGCAAGCTGGTCCGTCCGGTCATAGTGTATCTTGAAGCTGTCGCGTGTGGATTTTGATTTCTTGTCTGCATCAGAGGTCTTGCAATAACACCCCTTTAATTCCACCTGAATGTAAGACAACCCAAGAACGTTCGACTCGGACAGTGGCGGAGCTGGCAGCCAACATAACTGAGCCAGCCATTGAGAAGTTACAGTTCATTCATCCAAACCGCCACACGTTGGATTACAACTTTTATGGCTCGGTCATGCACGTGCTAGCTGGCAAGGCCGGTACAGCGCCAGTGAATGTCGATCATGCTGGTGCCGCAATATGATCGATTAGCAAACTAGCGCCTTGGCAAATTAGCGCCTTGGCAGTCGACTAGTCAGACGCTCTTGTTACATACTCGTAATGACGGTTGCATCATACAGCACGCCAGCGCATCCGCGGCGGCTGCCAGCACTTGCATGTGCTAGCCTACTATAGCTGTGAATGATCTGCACCGACCGTGCTTTCAAGATTTGACAATTTAGATTGAAAAGAGCTCTAACTTTTTCTATTTTCATGCCGTGGCCTGTGCACCTGGCATGGCACCTTCAAGCATGGTCCATTCACAGGCACAGTCCACATGCATGAGATTCAATTAGTGCTCGTACTCTAAATATACGGAACCTTTGCAATAAAAGCGGTGCACATGAAAATTGACAAGGGCTGCAGCTGGCGCCGCAGGAATAAGCCCCCACACCAATCTGAGAGCTCACTATGTCATTGGAGTGCGATGTAACGCATTACATATAAGGACCAATCACAGGAGCTGCTTGCAACAATTGAACGTGATCTATTCCGTTATGTCATTCACTGGCAGAGTGCACGCTCATATCCTGTAGTGCGGCCCATTGCTTGCCTATAGCTCGCCAATCATGCATATCTCGATGTGTATGTCAACCCACACAATCTGGCTAGGTACATCTATCTTCAAGTTGCTTCGAGCGCAGACTGAGAAGTGCTTTCTCGCACCCAATCTGTGGCATTCGTTTGGCATCACTTCAAGGACGCTCAAAGACACCACGGAGTTGCCAGACCTGCAACTGAACCCCGACAGATCAATCAATTCTATGTACACTTGCTGTACTAAACAAAGGTCAGCACTGTTCCACAGCTAGAATTCCACTATGCGCGCACTTGCCTTCCGGAGGATTGCATCAGGATGTCGAACAGAGATGCACCTGGCCACCGAAACTGCATCGCAAGTTATCTCAACAATCCCTTCCAGTTCGGTAAAAGCAATCTGTGACCTTCTGAGATAAGAAACGTTGATCTAAAACGTCGACCTTCTGCATTGAGAAATTTGATTCAATTCAGACAGTCGACTTTGATCCCCAACTCCACCAGCTGCTCTGCTGCCTTTTCCCCACCTCAGCCTCCGGCCTTCCAGGCCCGGTGGACGAAAGCGCACCTTTCGTGTCACCACCAATCTTTGTATCCACGCCTCCCTCTTGACCCTGACTGCTCCTCGCCTCTATTCTTCTTTGAGCAATTGCCTTAACCTCATCATTCTGCTTCCTCCGCTGCGAACTACTCTCGACCACCTTCTGCATCGCCCCTGCCTTCTCCTTCTCAAGCGCCAACCGCTGCGCCTCTGTTGCCTTTGCGACCCACTCCGGTGTCGCACTGGTCCCACTCCCCCCTCTCATACGAGCCCCTGGCGTACCAGTCAGTGTCTCCCCATTCAACGCCGCCTTGTACCTATCCTCAAAGTCATCCTTCTGCTGAATCTCTTTTAGCAGCTGCCCTAACCTCTCCTTGTTAGCAGAGTTAACCAGAACCGCGTCCTTTCGGCCGCGCTTCAGGAGCTCCTCTCGGAACTCATCTGTGTTGCGAGTTGTGGCCTTCTGCGTCAGATAAGCGAGCAGGCCGGCCGCGCCGACGGTGGTGGCTGTGAAGCCCCAGAAGAAAGCAGGGGACGCTTTTCCAAGTGCAACAATTCTGCGCCACGTTCTGGACTTGTCGAAGAGCGCGGCCATCTTGAATCTTCTTGGTCAGCTGCTCTGCTTTCAAGCAGGCCGCTCCTCTTTGCCAGAAGTCAAAAAGTATGAGAGTATAGCCAGGTATGTTCCTTTTCCGCACCAGCTCTTGAGTCTCTGACTTTTGATCGTCAAAAGCAGCAACTTCAAGTTCAAGCTCCGGCCCCGGGTTCAGATCTCAGCAGATAGTAACATCAGGCAGAGTAAAGCGGTTAAGAAAACGGGTTCTGCAAGTCGCTAACGACGTTGATCCGGCGGCGGCATTTTCCGCCGGGGACGATTTGAGATGCTGAAGAATCTTGGCGGTTTTCTCTCGCAGGCCGGTTGTAATGCCGTCTTTGCAGACACAGTGTACTAGTCTGGCAGTTAGCACATCAAACTCAATTTTGTGAGGGCATTTCAGGCAGAGCTCGACATTGCAATCAGGAAAATTGAAAGGGGCAGGAAAGTTTCTGCAAAGGGCGCCAGCTTCTGGTTCTGGGTTCTGGGTTCCGGGTTCTGGGTTCTGGGCCATGTAGCCTCTCGCAGATGTTTTCTTTGCTGTTCAAAGGAGCTAGTCCCAGGTTCTGACTCTGTCGTCTTTGCTGGGCGGGCTCTATAGAAAGAAGCCGCACCTAGGTCCTCTTGACCAGTACAGTATATAATCAGATATAAGGAACATCTTAGAAACCGAGCTAGGCAGCTGCCATTGGGCATGGCTATTCAGGTTGATCCTGCACTGGTGGCAGATCATTACAGCAGGCGGGAAAATCAGACCAGGGAAGACCGAGAGGCCAGCCCCATCATCCACCTCAAGAAGCTCAATAACTGGGTGAGCGCCACCAGCCACTTGCAATTTTGCAAGCGCCTCATTCTGAAATAGACCAGGGCCTGAAACAGATTGATGAGCTGCAGGCTTGCATCAATATGCGAGTCAGACAATGAACTGGTGAAAGTATCCAGAATGCAGCCAAATGCTGGGACGCAAGGGTTAAGGGCAGCTGACAGGCTTACGAAGCGTCACACTCGTAACCATCCCCACTCTAGTTGCAATTGCTATGCTACCACTGGTGATAAAAAGGTAACGAATCGATTGGTGTTCTTGGTAAGCCCATTGTTTCGAGCTTTGATGGTCAGCATGGATCTCAAGGCACAATTTTTTTAGTTGGTGTACTCTGTGCCTGCTGTAAACAAAGTAAAAGCTTCCTAGCTCCATTCTGTTGCTTCACGAGAGAGTGTCGCTAATCTATGGATCTCAGGCCTCCTTGAATCCAGCTCCAGGCTCTCCATCAAGCGACCTGTATTCGAGCCCTACGGATGAACTACAAATGGCCCAACTCTGCTGCCAAACGCATGGACTTTCTAACACTCTTCAATCCAGTATCGTTATCCATCTCATGCTGCCTTTCTATCTTAGTTCATGTTGTATAACGAAGTATAGGTGATTCCCTGCCCCACAACGGTCCTTTCAAGGGGGCGCACTAAGAAGCAACAATTTCCACAGGAGAGGTGGTTAAGATGCAAACCTCCTGGAATGAGTAGGGAATAACCTTCTTCTGGTACAGGTTAAGAGTGTCCTCATCCGCATCTACGCCCAGGCGGGTGACCGGGTCCTCGACCTGGCGTGTGGGAAGGGGGGCGATCTTGTAAAGTGGGACAAGGCGCGCATCTCGCACTATGTGGGAGTGGACATTGCAAAAGGGTCGGTGAGTTGCCGATTAATTACTGCTGTTTGCGTCAACCTTGGCACCCGAGCTTGGATTGGAACGCGCGTTCCTCAAACACGACATGCAATGTCGGTTCTGATGTTCCTCGAGTTACCCCCCGGGAAGGACTTTGGATGTCGATGTCAAACACTGGTCACCAAGAGTTCGGTCAGTCGAACTACAGTTGTTTCGTTAAGACGGCATGTCTATCAAGGATCAAGGACCAAATTCGGCCGATCTGTGATCGAAAACCGCGCGTTTCAAATGAGATTGGGTGCCAAGTTGACGCAAACAGCAGTACTTTTCTCGCGTGATGGCTGGAGCAAAACGATGTTGTTTACTATGTGTTGAACCTGATATGAAGCCCCCAAAAGGCTTATGGGGGTTACGATTGTTGACAACGTAAGCGGCTCGAAGGTCAGCCCAATAAGAGTAGTTTTCAAGAATGTTTCGAGTAGGTTCTTGTAGAATAATGGATGAAAGTGTCCACTTTTTCGACTGTCAACATCGACCGGAGTCCTGGGGAGACTGTACCATGCGGGGCGTCAACAAATTGCATGAACCACAGAGAAAGAAGACAGAAGGCTGGAGCCGTCATCAAAAAGGATAACACGAAAGCGCAGATAGCAAAAAACGAGAGGAGAGGTAGAACAGGAGTAGACTGAAAAGACGGGAACAAACTTACAGCACGTAATCTCCATGATCGCAGGTGGAGGACGCCCGTCTTCGGTATGAGGGGGTAGGATCGAATGGCAGGGGACTCCCATATCACTTTTCTGCCCGCCTGTTGTGTGCGGACTGCTGGAAGGTATGAAGCACGATAAGTGAACCAACAAAAGAGACGTCTCTGCGTCATCGTTTACAACTCTCTTGAATCGAGCTTTCAAGATCCATTTACTCCCCTTGTTTTGGTTAGATTGATTGCGACCCGTACTCTTACATCCTTAGACTCTGTGCGAACGTTACAAAGCCAATGTAGTCGAGAGTAGCTTTTCAAGCCGTCCATTAGTAGGCACTTTTCTTCTTCGAAGCTCGGAACTGCGGCCTGTTGGTGCAAATTGCCTTTGCTGGAGATGTCTTCTGGTGAAGTGCAGGTTTCGTTAGAAGAGCCGCTCAAAGATGATGCACCATTTGACATCATCAGCTGTCAGGTGAGTAAACCGGTCTTCTTTACTTTTCTAGCTTTATCTTTAGATATTTGACCATGTGCTTCGCATCCACCTTGTTCCCAGATCTCAGAAGTGGGAGGAGACAGGTACCATCCTTGCTTCGCTACGATGACGGCTGGCTCTTGAATGACTGTTACAGAATTCATCTTACTTGAGCAGAGGCGTCAGCCATTCAAGCTATTGTATTGCCATCAGTATGGGAGCCGTTGCAAGTAAGACCCTGTTTATCGTCCACCTTTCTCAACTTGGCCGTTATTCTGTGCTTGTCTTGACATGGAGTTTGCGAGGGGTTCATACCAGTTGTGATAGTATAGTACACAAAAGATTTGCACCCGCCTTCACTCACTAACATTCATCGAGCGGCAACGTCCGTGCTAAAACGTGTGCCATCTCGCTTCGGAAAAGGATTGCCCTGCTTCATAAGTTCGTGTCGTCAACTTGAAGGTTCCATATTCTTGTCTAAGTGTCACTCGAGCAGGCTTGTTGCCCGTCCCTCTGTCCTTTGCATGTCTCTAGTTGAGGCCACCCATCCAGTCTATGTACTGAACACTGTCACCCGATGCCTAATCTACCAGGGTGTCAAGTCCTTCCCAGTGCCTCCGCAGCTGTTTGCCCTACACTACTCCTTCAGCGAAGAGGCCCGAGCTCAGTTCAGAAGACACTAGGGGAATCTTTCACCCCATGCCTGAAGATTTCTGGTGTCAATTCCTCCGTAGTGCCTCCACTGCAGTTCGCCCTACACTACTCCTTCAGTGAAGAAGCCCGGGCACGGCGAGCGCTGCAAAACGTCTCCTCATTGCTGCGACCGGGGGGCGTCTTTATCGGAACCATACCGGACGCCAACGTGCTTGTTCGGAAGCTCCGAGAAGGTGAGGCTTGTTTTCAATGCAGATTGCGTGGCTCTTCTTCCCAGTCCTGTGCCCAGTCCTTTTCTCTATCCGCTCCAGTTCCTCTTTCCTCACTGTCTTCTCTTTTCATGCCACGCGGAATTGCCCCATCTGGCTCGCTCACAGCGCTTTTCCTTTCTTGTGGTTTGTTTGAGTCAAACAGTTCTACCTTCACCTCAGCTGCCGGTAGTTTGCTCTTCGCAACATCGAAGATGAAAGAGGAAAGGTGCAAGTCTTTGCATCTTGTTTACAAGAAGTCTTCTTCCGCAGCCCCGGGTCTCGAAGTTTCCAACAGCGTGTACCGCTTCCGCTTCGACGATCGCCACGCAGACAAGGTGGGCCGATGCTCTCATATACGAAAGGCTTCTGAGATTGCTTTGATCTTGGCTGCAACTAAGGTTTTCTTGTCCTCCAGATCAAAAGCATGGGGTTTCTTTCCAGTTGGTCTTTGACCCTAGCGTCTCAGCTGTTTCTCCGATACGCAGATTGTCTTCTTGACGCAGGACTCTTTCCCCTCAATCGATCGTGATTGCAAGCAACATGGCTTGTAGTCTAGCGCTAGCCACTCAGAACAGTCGTGTCCTTCAACGTGAGTCATCTTCTGGTGTCAAAGTTCTGCAAACCACTGTAGCGCCCCTAGCATCGAGGGCCCTTAGTGGCTGGTGCGCTTATTGCCTCTTGTCCTGCTTCTCTCCTGACCATGCTTTCGGCTGACGTCAGATGATGATGCTAGCAAGGAATATGCGGTTGACAGGTGGCTCGGTTCCTGCAGCGGTTCCCGGCGAAGCAGCCGTACGGCAACACGTATATCTTCGCCCTCGAGGTGATTCTCGAAGCAAAACTTCTTCAGATATATTTTTGCAACATAAACAGCCATACTTTCTTCACTCCAAAAGAACGGTGACCGTAAAGTGCTCCCTGAACGTACGAAAGGCGAGATTCGTTGTGTTATCTCGAGATGTCAGTGAGTCGCCCTCCTTTGTTGAGAAACGTCTCAGGAAGCGCGCATCTCAGTACGCTCACGGCTTTACGCACGCGGCTTAACATGCCCGTGACTCGGCTCCAAGCATAGATTTTTGAGGTCCTGAACCTCATTCAGGTTTCGAAAAAGATGGAGCAGATCTCACATCGTTAAGCTTCTTTTATTCGATCTGGACCATTCGTTAGTCAAACAACGAAGATCTGACGCGCTATGTACTCGTGCAATGCCAGGACGCAATCGCCAGCGTCCCGGAGGCCCTCATCCCCTTCTCGGCCCTAAGCACTCTAGCGGAAGAGGTGAGCAAGTTTGCCCCGTGACGTTCGGCAAGTTGACGGTTTACTTTACCGATAATGAATGTTCTGTGCACCGACAGACGTCATTCCTGTCCTCATATACCCCAGCCGTTCATCGTAATTGAAGCGTGCGCAAACGCTGGAAACGTCTGCTGTTGGCAGCGCCTCGAACAACGGCACGCTGCGCGCCCGCCACGTGGCAGCGCACCAGTCAATCTAAAAGCAATTACATCCAGCGCATTTGAGTCGGACAAACGTTTCTCCTCTGACTTCAAGCTTCGCTTGACCGTCACACACAACGAGTTCAGACTGGGTTTAAGCTCCGTCTTGCAAAACCGAAGTCTCTCTAAAGTAGCAAATCTATGATAGCGGTCTTCATTCCGCATGTGCCCGTCTTGTATCCTGGCGACTTTGGGTCGCCTTCCAATTTCACGCTCTGAGCGGTGCTGCTCAAGGACGACGAGCTCAACCCCAGTGGGTTTACATCTCCATTCTGACAGACTCTTGCGGGGTCTGCAGTGATTACGTGAACTTCACTGTTAATAAGGTAACAGTAACAAGGAGTTCAACGAGGACGGGTGGGGTTAGGATGGGGGTTCGGGAGAGTCCGGGTGCGGAGCGAGTCATTTTTCCATTACGGTTCCAGTATTGGTTAAGCAGGAGATGCCTCTCCGTTATCTACATCATTTCATAAATATCTTATAGTCCAGATGTTTGATTTTCTGCAGTACGGTCTCACGGTGGAGGTGCGGTCAAACTTCCACTCCTTCATCGCGGAGCACAGCCGGAACCCCGAGTTTGCGGAGCTTCTACGAACGATGGGCGTCGCTGAACGTGAGACCTATTAACACCTTTTCCACCGTGCTCCGGACTTTAATAGCCAGACTGAGCAGCGAGGTTTGCAAGATGGGAATTTGGCGTCAAGTGTAGCTGTCGACAGTCAGTGCTGATGTATAAATTAGTCTTTCGTCGACAAAGTGACTAGGATTCTTACGAAGCGCCTCCGTTCGAAAATTACTCCGGTGGTTCATAAGCCTTCGCATAGGGTGAGATCTTGTTAGAGGCAAGCCCTGATCTCTTCACGCCTCCTTCTGCATAATCCCGAAACATCTGAGAGTTGCGCCGGTCGTTGTTCCCTCCCGGTTGCATGGCGCAAAGGACAAGTAACTCGACCAAACAAGAGCCTCCTGCATCACTTGTAACGTAGGCGACTATGTACCTGAGGTGGTTTCGAGGAGAATTGAAGCGTCCATTTATTCCATTTATTCGTGGAGGAGTATCGATTTCACGTTGAGATACAGCCAGATAGGTCACTGGTGGGGTCACTGGTGGACTTATTGTGAGCACGCGTGCGGAGCGGTTAAAAAATGTCTTCAGAATTTATTGCGTCCTCCCGGTTCCAAGTTTGCATCTCGACCCAACCTGAAATTGAGACATCCAGAACGGAAGAGCTTTTGATCCTTTCACATGGCTTACCGATAAGAGACTCCTCCTGCATACAGGGGGGAAGCAGATGTCCGCAGCCGAATGGGACGCCGCATACCTCTACCTCGCTTTCGTCTTTCGGAAGGTGAGCGTCGCGCCTGCCAGAAGGCAAAAGGAGGTTCAAGAGCTTGGTCGATAACTCGCCGTGACCTCTTTTCAAAATGTATCTTCGCAGAACATACTGGTTTGCTCGCGCACACAAAGACCGTCAAACAAGATAGCATGCAATCAATAACTTGCTTGCAGAATCGTCGACATGCGTGGGGACCGAGGCCGCTCGTGGCTTCCCGCTTAGCGATAGACCGTAGTTGGTTGGTCTCGCTTGAGTCCTACACTGAGAACCCTATCAGTATCAATCTTCAAAGACACCCGGCAAAGCACGACACCCCTTTGCAAGCACGATACAAAACATCCCTTTACGCTGCAGGTTGGTGAAGCGCCGAGGTCTGAGCGACCTAAGCAGCCTGGAGGCATTTACAAGCCCATACAACCGCACGAGATTGTCTTCATACCCTCCTGACATTTGCGACTGATGTCCACTTTGTTGCCGGCTGTCTGGCTGGGAGGTGTAAACAACTTGTATAGGTGTGAAAGCTTCATGGCAAAGTTCTCACGATCGCTCTAGGTGTCGTCCAAATGGACAACGGTTGGCCATCCGCGAATATGAATGCAAATCTCGCTATAGATCGTGTCCATCCTTCATGCACGATCGAAGTTTGAGTGTGCATCATGCTTATTTTTAGAGGTATGAGAGAAGGAATCAAGTTTCGGGGCCCCTGTCTGCCTAGTCACTACGGCCTCTTCCTTAGATATGTAACGGATACCCCGGACTGAAGAGCTGACGCCAGTTGCATATAGACGCGCTCAAACGAATGCTTCATGGCCAGCTACAGCCGCTTCAACCCCATTTTTCAACCATTGCGCGCCGCACGATTGCCACCCAATGCTATATGCTTAAGAATGCTCAGTCTTGTATTACAAGAAACTGTAACATGAGCAAACCTGCATGGGCAGTCTTTCAGCTCTTTACAGTGCATGACGTGCCAAACATCACGGATGCGTACCAGATATTATAGGTGTACATTTTCCCATGATATTGTGGGGGTTGAAGCACCTTGTCAGATACATGCATATGCGCATAGGGTTGCACCCAAGTGCGGTGGGGGCTCTATACTCGAGTCATGCAAGCTATAAGCTCGCCAAAGATATAGCCGAGCCAGGCTAGCCCTCCTAGGTGACCATGCAGCACAAGCGTTGGATTCGATGATTGCTCAAGTACCTAGCGCAATATCGTTGGCCCAGTAAGGGCCACTTGCGGTTGCGTCACGTCACCATCTCACCCCTGTCCCAGTGCATGGGTTCAACGAATTGAAATGCAGGACTTGGGGGGATCCCTTGGGGCCAAAGCCGAACGTCACCATGTACTGTGACTTGCATTCCCTGGAAATATCGGACGGCACGTAGTAAGCAGCAGACCCTGCCGTCCGTTGCCGGCCCTCCTGACCGTAGATCTTGAGAGGTGACAAATCTGGCCAGGCCAGCCACGTGGGACCGACCGGCCAATGAGTCAGCCAGGCTTGTCTGCTAAAGGGAGTGCTCAAAATCTGAGAGCTTGCCCAAATTGAAAAGCAGATTGAGGAGTACATGCGATGTTGAAATTGAAAGCCCAGCTATGCTAAAAGTTGGCAGCAATCCTGGCAGCATGTTGGCAGCGTTGAGCAGCTAACCTTGGTTGGTTTGGCTACTGTGGTTGCTCTTTTTCTGCTTGTATTGTTCTGCAGATATTGAGACTATATGTAATTGGGCAGATTAACCGGAAACCTGTTTCAGCGTGTCGGTGAACCCAATTGCAAAGCTCATCCCCATAACAGGTGGACCGCAGTAACCTAAATCTGCTCCAGAGGATAGCCATTCCAGACCTTTACAGCATAAAGAGTTGCGATGCTCACTTCCAGCCCCTTAGCCCCAACAGAGCCATTGCCAGGAAAGCTCCCACGCAATGAAGGCCCTCTTCCTCTGCTCCCTCATCTCCTTTCTCTTCGTGGGTGCCCTTCTCGCCCTCTCCTATCTGCTGCCCACCAAGATCCACGTGGCAGAATCTCCGGACAAGGGCGCAGTCTACGTCGCCACGCTCGCGATCGCAACGCTGCTGCCCGCGTGCTTCGGCGTCCACGTCTGCGTCGCCCTTCTAGTTGCTGCCAACGTCTCCATCTCCTGCAACCTGCGCGCCCTCGCAGAGACGCTCAACCTGCTAACCTCCGCTCTTGACCGCTTCCAAAACCCGGTGCTTTGGGTGCGGACCCACCCGTGGCGGTCGGGTCTCTGCCTCCTATTCCTTGGGTCCTATTTTAGCTTTTCACAGCTGCTGACCGCGTCGAATGGACGCTACCTGGAAACGACGCCGGTGCAGAATGCAACAGTTACAGGGCTGGGAGGCGCGTCTTCTTTTGGGGGGTGCACGGGGCGGTCGTGCATTCTGACCAGTGACAAGAACTTTCCCATCATGGTGGAGCAGATTGGGAACGTCACTGCGGCGACGTACGCGCACGAGATCAACGGCGCGTGGCACTACGCGGTGTTCCCGGACCCAAGCGAAATCAATCAGGTGAGCTTCAAGTTATAACAAGGTCCTTCCTTGGTCATGGCTGAGCTTCTGAGCTGAAATTAGATGTGGCCTGGCGATACTTTTGAACGTTTGCAACTGAGGAATGGGTGTCTTTCTGGTATGGGACGTATTGAGCTGAGAGACTTTGTGGCTCTGCCAATTCAGAAACCCTTGAACTTCCTGAAATCATGAAATCTTCTGCTTAGAGATTGCAGGGAAGTAGCTTTTTGGACTTTATGAAGGTCCATCAGTTGGGGATAGAAAGTTACTATCAGACGCAGGAAGAGAATCTGAGTTGGTTGTGGATAAGGAAGCTCAAAAGGGATAAGATTGGACTGAACAACAGGACTGGGTAGTTCTGTGAGCGAGGGGTTGAAAGGCACCGCCTTTGGTCTTATGAATGCTATATTTTGTCTTCACCTCGCTTAAAGACCTAAGAAACGAACCCTGGGTTTGAGAAGTCCGCAAAGTTTACTGAGCTTGAGAGGCAGAGGGGCCTGAGCCTAGATTTGCACAGAGCCGTTGTTTATTTTCTCAAAGTTGCAATCCAGGGAGGTAGGAGTCTAGGCTCAGTTTCTTCCTTGAGTGTACCTTCTGAGATGCGACTTTCCTTTAGAGCCGAAGACATCCAAATGTCTCACTCTATTAAGCTCATGCGAAGGCGACCTTGGATCTGGACCACAAAGCTCAAAAAAGCTCGATAGATGAGAGCTGGATATGGGGTCCGCATTTGTTACAACAGGGATCATGATGCAAATCAAAAGTTATTGCTGGACAAGATAATCTGGGAGTTATGTATGACTTATGATGTTTCAAAGGAGCGATTGGATGCTTTCGGAAGAGGGTTCAGATGGCCTTTGATGGCCAACCGTTTTCGTTGATCCCCAGAAAGGTGGAGTTCCTTCTCAACAAACCTGGTCAGAAAATCTTAGCAACATTCTGACCCATTGTTCAGCGGCTTAAAGGCCGCCTAAGGGACCACGCGGTCAGCTAACCCCCTGGTTGTTCTCTGTACAGGAGGTGGGGAAGACCAAGTTTGAGCGCCTACTTCAAGAAATTTGATCAACTTCTATTTCAGGTTAAACTGACTCAAGTCTCCCCTGCTTTGAGGGCCCCTAAGGAGTCGTCTCCCGGTCAGCTTTACGTTAGTTCTTCCCTGTACAGGAGGCGGGGGAAAACCAACTTTGAGCGCCTCCTTCAAGGGACTTGGTCAAATCTTATTTCAGGTTCATTTGACTTATGGTATTTCCCCTCCTTTGAGGGCGCCTAAGATATCGTCCCACGGTCAGCTTAACCCTAGCTCTTTCTTGCACAGGAGGCGGTGAAGACCAAGTTCTCAACAACCTTGGTCAACTTCTATGTCAGGTTATGATGACTTATGATTCCCCTGCTTAACCCTAATTCTTCCCTGTACAGGAGGCGAGGAACACCAAGTTTCAGCGACTACTTCAAGAAACTTGATCAACTTTTATTTCAGGTTAGTCTGACTAAAGATTCCCCTGCGTAATCCTCTTTCTTCTCTTCACAGGAGGCGGGGAAGACCAAGTTTCAGCGCCTGCATCAAGTCCACGCAGCCCGGTACACTTTCCAGTGCGACAAAAGCCTCGCCCCCACCGCACAATTCAACGCCGCCGCAACCTTATTCAACGACACCAAGCTAATTTCGGCCAGGTCTTCCGTCACGCTGACAAGTCAGGGGGTTCTGCAACTCTATCTAGGGTTGGAGTTCCAAGGAATCGAGGGGTACTCCGTTTATTGGTGCCTGTTCAATGCGAGCAAGGAAATCGTGGACGTGGTTTGGCAGTCAACTGCGGGTGAGCAAATTTAAATCACTCATTCCCTTTTGTCAAAAGCAAATTAAAGCCAATTCGTGAGCAAGGGAGGTCGGGTATTTTCCGTCCGAACGTTGGTGGTTGGGAGATTGTATGCGCTGTTGAAATTTCAGGGCGACAAGCATTTATGTAGCATATTTTGCTCTCGGTAACAACGGAAGCAGAAACAGTCTCGTGCGTGAAAGTGATCGACTGAAGTACTAGGCAATCCTCACGTGAAAAGTTTAACCTGCAAGTCAATGTTCTGCACTTATCAGGATAATGATGCCAGGCGGTCTTGATGGAAGTGTCCGGCAAAGGGCTCGTCGCACTGTTTCTTTCCGCCTCACCACACGGCCCGTCCATTAAATTCGAACAACCGTGAAAGGTTTCAAGTACGCGACCACGCGTTATCAGCAAAAGGGATCGCCCTGCGAGCTCAGCTCCAGGTATCCGTTCTGAACAAGATCTTTTTGCTATCTATCCTGTCCGCACTTCGCAAAATAAATTTTGTACCCTACAGTGTAACCTAGGCTTCGATAAGAACCAAGCCTTTGACACCGTCTCTTCTTAACTTCTTTCTGAACCTTGTTTCGAGGTTTTCTTTTCTACACGTCTCAAACTTGACCAATCCTGCTAACTCGTTAGCCCTGCTTTCTGAAAGTAATCATTCCCTTTACACTTCCTCTCCTGACTCTGCTAGTCTTTGTCCAAAGCATTCTCGTGGTGTTCCCTTCCAGGTTCCTAATTGGTTGTTAGCTTGATCAGCCCTGCTCCCTAAACCGCCAGACGTGGGTTTTCAGACTCAGTTCCGCGGATCGGATTCCCCCAGATCTTCTGTTTCCACCCACAATCTCCTGACCGTATGCTTATCTCAGGAGGGCTGTCCGTGGTTAAGTGACCATTGCTGGTTCCTACCCACGGGCCTGCGTTCGGAAAAAGAGAGCCCAAAATATCTCTCCCTAGTATCTATGTCCATCGATCAAGCTTCTCGTTTGCTCTTCTCTTCTCAGGAGCGCTGTCCGTGGTTAACGTAACCAACCCTGCTCCGTACAACGGAACCTGGGTCCCCGAAGTGACGAAGCCCCTGACGTCACTCTCGCTCGTTTTCTCCAACACCCTGGCCTGGTGGTTCGCCAGCCGCTTCTACGCGCTCACCAGCCAGGAGGCGAAAGACTTCGCCGTCGAACGCGTCGCACACGCGTTCATTCAGGCAAGCCTTTCGACGCCAAAGAATGTTTTGCCGGGTACTTTGAATCATGTAAATATTGATCCAGGTTTGGATCAGACCAGGACACTGACTGCCTATCAAGCGACGGGCTTCCTATGAGAAGCGGAACTTCCTGCATGAAGATCTTGACGTCTCCTGATTCTACGAAGCCTTAATCGACTGTTTCAAGTCGACATACTAGATCCGCAGATCGAACAGAAGCAGTTTGCCGCGGAAGTGTTTCCTGCGCCGTCAGGCCGTCCTCAGTACCTTGCTTCACTTTCAAAGCAACATTCCTGCTAGGTTCTGCAAGCGGCTCAGTGCTTCGTGAGTCTATGGTCACCAGGACGTCGCCTCGCATTCAACCGAGACATGGTCCCGGGCATGAATCGCTCTTCAAAACTCAATCTGCTCTCAGGACGATCTTCAAAACGTCGAAGCTAAACAGGATTTCAAGAAGGTTTTATAAGGCCCTAACGATCAAACCCGCGGCTTTTCGTTACATCACCTGCAGACGGTCCTCCTTCGCGGCGCCCAGACCACGGACGACACCTACGTCAACCAGTCGGACGTCCTGACGGACACGTGGTGGGTGGTGGACCAGATCCGCGCGCGCGCGTGGTTCCGCACGTTCCTCGCGGCCGCGGCCGCGTTCGGCGCGGCCGCGTGTTTCTTCCTCGCGATCCTGTGGGCGTGCTCCGGCGGGGGGGTTCGATACACCGGGGAATGGCGGCCGCTGCAGTCGGAGGGACTGGATGCCGGGGCGGAAGTAGCGCCTAAGACCCGGGGGATCCCTTCCGGGGGGGAGGTGGAACTGGATGCCGCTGCGCGGCGCCAACGGGGAGGGGTGTAAAGTGTCAGGGTGGTTGTACAAGTTGTAAATACACGCAGTGGAGGAACGCTGTCGCCGCCATCTCGTCACTTCTAGCCGTTTGGTGATAGTCGACTGGCTGAGATTCGCGTGAATCAGCTTTCTGATGAAGCCGTAGCCAGACTCAATTCGAATCGTATCATCTTTGCAGCGATCAGTCTTCTGGATTCTTGACAGTGTTATAGTCGTGCCGGGGAACACCAGATCATGAACCGTCGGGTGTGCATGCGAAGAAAGCGGTCAAAGCTGGACATGAAGAACGCACCGTCACATTCGTGGTTCACAGCGCTTGATTATGGTAGTTATCGTACGACTTTTATCCACAGGCTGCCTAGTAGCCACGTACTCGAATCTGGGGCCTGCTTAATCACCTGACGTGGGCGTCTTGGCAATGATGGGCGGCGCGCCAGAAATTTCTTAGTGCAGACGGCAGTTAGTTGTATAAGCAATGAGTGCGCACTGAATAGAGGATATAGACGGAATGAGATTGAATTGAGCCTATCATTAACAGAATAGCTCCTACATCGTTGATTTTCATGTTGCCTTACATTGATTGCAGTGCTTATCATCCGATCCCAGTTTGACCGCGGGCCTCCGCTCATCAACTTCACATACAAGCTCGCGGCCACGTATACGCAATGGAAAATGACTCGACTTGTCATGCAGCAGATTTACTAGGTTAATTGTGATCAATTAACACTGGAATCATTGTTTGCGCCTAGCCTAGATACATGACACAAATTATATGAAGTCCGCATGCAAATGGGGCCCGTCCGGCGGACGCTCATTAACCACGGCTGCATGTACGGGTTACCATTTGAGCCTACAGGTCTGACGTTAAATTGAGATTTACCATGTAACAAAAACAACTGACCGGGTTCAACTCGCACATGTGCGACACTTGCCAGACAGTTGATCTTTCGTGCATGTCATCCCAGCTTGTTAGAATATTGCTCATGCATGAAGGTTCGATCATGATCCGAATAAGTTGCTAGTGAGTCCTCCAGGGCGCGGGACGTCAAACATGCTCAAAGACCTGAAAGTCATCTGGACCACATGTTCGTACGTTTGTGTACATGCCGTATTAGTACACAAGGCAGGCTCCGGTGAATGTGGGTCTGAACATGCCCAATTCGCGTTCATCGTTGTGAGGTGGACTTATAAGTGTTGTGTCGGAGCAGGACCAAAGAACGTTCGCGCTTCGAAAGTTCTTGAGGAGAGAAAGCAGCTCCTATGCACGGCCTTCAATGTTCCTTGTTGCGTGCGCGTGACGACCGCCGTCTGCAACTTTGTCTTCTTTTGACGCCGGCTTTTCCTGCAACTCGTCAAAAAGGTTCGTGAGGCAATCATTAGAGGTGGGCTGACTCTCGTTCTCTGGAGTGAACTGTGAGAACAATTGGAACTCGTCCATGCAGTGTAGAAGTACCTCAGTAGCAGCAAAATCGCTTAAGAAATTCGCCAAGCAAGGTCCTTCGGCAAGTCGTCACGTGACTGGATAGGCCTTTCGCCGCGAGACGAGAAGATGCGGCGACTCACCCGGTACTCTTCAACGTAAGTGGTCGCCTTTGAAATCGCACCAGAGGAAAACGTCGACGACGCATGGTAAGTAGTCACGAGCAGCTGGGCAAATGCGGGGAGGGCGCCACCTGGCAAAAGGTCATCGGATGGCTTGTGCAAAGCCAAACGAACTTTCATTTTGTTGTTAAGAAGCCTGAAGCTTTGAGAGAGTCCTCGACTTTCGATGATGGTGAGCGGGTGAATTGACGAGTGCTGCACACATGCTTCTAGGCGGCGACTGTTGATCGGAGCAGGTTCGCAGTCGGTCGACTTTTGGCGCGGCCAGTCCTTGCTAAACCTAGTCAAAGCGATCCGGGGTCGAAGACCATTACAAATACGTTCTGGGAATCGAGGCGCAAAGAGCTGAGCGGCCGTCATTTGAGCAACAAAAAATGATTTCCGTGCGAGAATAAGGGTGTAGCCCGCAAAAAACCTAAGACCGGAGCTACTTCAAAGAGACGTTTCCAACCACATAAAGATGATACAGTCTCTAGAAGATGATACGGAAGGTGCATCAATTGTAGAAACGATGCGAAAGGTGACGTACGGCTCGCATATTCCTCCAGGAGCGCTGAGTTAAAAGAATCGTAAAAAACTTCCGCGAACGTGCAACAAGCAGCAAGAGGCGCCATGGTTTCACGAAAACCGGTGGATTTCATGAAGCCAGCGCTTCCGGAAGGGATGCCAAAATCTTCGTCAAATGTGATTCCGGGTTACAGCTTAGGAAGATGCCGTCTTCGAACACCATTCGCGGGTTGGTTGGACCAATCTTGGGAGAGTAGGAAAAGCGGCAGGATGAGGTGAGAGGCTGAGAGGACGGTGGAAACGGGGCTGAGGAAAAGTTGAGTGTAAGTACCTGCCAGCCCTGCGCCCGCCATAGCAACGAGCATGATCGGAGGAGCCTGTAATAAAGGCTGGGTGTCAGTTCGTTCAGATTTCACCCCGAGATATCCGTTTCATAAACGCTCAAGTGTTCCGACGAGTTCACAAACTGACGTTGATATGCTCTGCAGAGTGCACTCACACCGGGTCCTACGGAGAAACCATTCCACAAGCTCTCTGACGACTTCAAAAGTCGTGATAAGCTACCATTTTCTGTGAAAACGGAACGGGGTCATTCCCGCACGCGGCCGGAAAAACGGGACCTGAATGTGGTAAAGGGCAATAGACCTACACGCCTGCGCCGCTTCTCCGGTCTCAGAGTTTTGATGGGTTTTGTACGCATAATGTTTTTCGTACGCAATAAAGGTCGCTCACCCCGGCAAGACTTTGCAGCCACGGTCGCCCCGGCAGCAGTTTCACCATCCGCGGCATCACTGCAGGAAACAAATGATCATCAGCGCATCTCGAGGAATCGGTTGTGCGCCATAAACTTCCAACCCAGACAAACCTTAGGTTTGGACGCTGGTACAGATGCGGGCGAGGGTTGAAGAGCACTATGGCGTATGCTCTGTGGACCCGCCGCTCCTGGCAACGATGACGAAACCTGTCGACGACTATGCAATCAATGACAACGAACAAGACGGAAGCGAGGGAGCGACAAACTACGGGTGCGGTCGAGCCAGAACGACGACAGCCGCTTCGACTAGGGGCCAACTTTTTAAATTTTCTTGGACAAACGAAGTTCGTCATCTGGTCGCAGGGGTTGGCAAACAACTCGCTTCTGGCGAAGCAGGGATCACGTATGAGAACAGCAAAATCTTTCGAGTGCACGATAGCAAGTGGGATTTGGTCAGGCCCGAATGAGCAGCACTTGCCTCGTTGGAAGGAGTAGAACCCCGCTACTGCTCCACCAGTCCCGGTGCCAATCTGCAAGCAACAGCAAACGCTAGTAGTCCTTCCACATGTCACTGGTCCTTGGTCCGAGAAAGGGTCCAGTTCAACGAGACCGGTGACTGTGCAAGAGAGCCCTCTAGAAAGCCTTGCGTTTGAACGAGATGGTGTCATGTCTCCTCCACTTTGGCTGCGCATGCTGTCTAAAAATCAGAGACAGGCTAACACTCAGAGCATACAGTCCCCGCAGCACAACGTTAATTCCTGACCGGACAGAAGGTCTAGAAACGCTCTCTTTTGCGAACGAGAAATCAAAGATACGGCTGTCAGTCCGGTAAAGCCCGTACTGCTTGTTGCTTACCACGGCAAAGGAGTCCCGCAGGAAAGGCGAGATGGCCCAGCCCAAAGCTTCCTGACAAAAGCACAGGCAGCGCTGCTCAGATAACGCGCAAGGTTGAAGGCACCTCTTGATTACTTCCAAGGGCAAGGACGTAACCCCTCCTGGCACAAGCTCGATATCCGCAGGTTTGTGAAAGTGACTTGATGGGACCTACTTCAGCCACTGCAATACCAAAGAATCCTCTGGTACAAGAAGAGGTTAGTCTCACATCGCAGACATTGACACCAGCTGCACAAACTAACATTGTAATCTGGCATGCTCACTTCAAGGAGCAGGAAGTTCTCACTTCAAGATTTCAAAGTCCAGTGGGCCCTTGCCAAGGCGTCCTGTCAATCAAGTAAACAAGCGCCAGACGCCGTCATAAAGTGGATCTAGGACGGAAGACGCAACAGTCAGTATCTCCAGAGATGCCTTTTATAGCAGGACTGAGGCAAAGCTCACCAGATCTTGATCCAAGGGGGCCGCACATCTGGGACATCGTGCCTCAGATTTTGCTGTCTTCAACCCCCCCACCGCACGAGCAGGCTTCTCCATGATCAGAAAGCTTGGAAACAGACCATGTGACCTGAAAAGAATGAATCCTTTCAGGTTCTGCCTGTTCCAGTAGGACACATGCAAATGAAGACATCTTCACCAGGAAAGTCAATTCTACAACTCAAGGACTTCCTCTGGTTGCAGAGTGCTAAAATCGCAGTCACGTGGCTGAAGACCTGTCAATCTCTTTCAATACAAAATGCTGAAGATGTGGTCAAGTGACGATGATCTTTGACATGAATATTGAGGCTCTGTATTCTTGAGAATTTGTTTTCTGTTTTGAGTATTTTCACGGTCTCAGATGAGCATGATATCGGGACAACGTTTGCAACAAGTCTCCCCGCCAAAGAACGAAATGCTGAGCCTCAATCTCTGCCCTACTCGACCACCACCAATCAAAAGCTTTTGAAATTCTGATTCCTCTTGTGCTACAACCATGCTGTATCTTGTCCCAAATAGATCTGATTGGAGGCACTGAACCTATCATGTTTCAGGTGGCCCCGACCACCACCATCAAACATACTTTATCAAAGATTTCACCGGCCACGATAAGGCCTCCAATACGCTCTGTAAAGGGGGGTGTTGTGCAGAGTCCCGAAGGAGCCGGCCTGAAAAGATGTTGGAACTTTTACTGATTAGTTGAAGTACCTGCCACCTTGCAATGGCCCCACTCTGTCTCCTTGAGAAACTTTCCAACTGGATTTACGAAAAGTTTCAGAGAGGCTGCCTGACACGGTCCTTGTTGGGCGCCTGAGAAGTAGTGCTTGACCCTAGTAAAAGCCCGGCTGATGCTGGCCACTCACAATACCATTCTTATGAAAAGGCGTCCCCCACGGCAAAAAAGGCGTCCTTTACGGCAAAATGGCATGGGGTTTTGGGGTTTCTATCTCAGAGCAGATGAGAGAAGATGGGGCCGGCACTTCAACGTCAAATTCAAGTTTTAGGGTTTTGAGCAATTTCGAGGCAGTTGTTTGGCTTAATTTTATCTGCTATTACTTTGACACTCATCTGTAGCCTAGATCCTGTGAAGATGTCTACTTGGTTCATAGCGTCACATTTCAGTGTTAAAAACAGTGATGCACAAAAATATAAGAAGACTTGGACTTGACAATGAAGGAGCCTGAGCCTGAGATCAGAACTTGAAGTTGAACTTGAAGGGAGTCCCTTCGATCCGAGCTGTTTCCCCGCTGTTTCAAGGGCGGGGCGACGAAAGAACTACCAATCTCTTGTGCTTGTCCTTGTCCTTCCGGGCAGTGCTCTCGCCCTCTAGGTGTAAACCAGGTTCGTCTGTGGAGAGGATTCTTTGAGTCCGTGGCTTTCACAAAACTGCGAAGGGAGCTGCACAGGGAGCGTTCTGTCATTGATCCTGCAGCATTAGGACCGGCACCATCATGTTTGGGCCAAGCTTCAAGTCGGCAAAATGGTGAGGCTCTCTATCGTTTCCTGTCAGAAACTTTGTTCCCATCATGTGCACGGGCTTGTAGAGAAGTCAACATTTGCCGCTGCTTACTTGCCTCTCCTGCAACCTTTATTCGTGCATTGGTTGATAGTCATGGTGACTGGCCGGTTGTTGCAGCTGATCGTGAATTCTTTGCTTGCAGCAAGACGCAACTGAAGTTGTGCGTCTCGCGAGTCAAGTTGCTTCGGAACAAAAGGGAGATGACGGTGAAGCAGATGAAGAAGGAAATTGCGGACTTGCTGAAGGAAGGAAAGGAGCCAAGCGCAACCATCCGGGTATATCATTTAAAATCCCAAGTTTGAGGTTTTTTGGATTAGGGTTTCTTTGACAATATTGCTCAACTTTCTGCTTTTTTGTGTCTCCTGCCTGAAAAGACTCATCTTCCGGTCAGATAAAAGCAGAGTGCTTGTCAGGAGGAAGGTGTTTGCACTGTTTATTAGATAAATTTTCTTTGTATACTTCGTATTCATCATATCTTGAGGAATATCTTACCGAACTCTTGGCATTCTGAAGCTTTTCTCGTTCATTTTTGCAGGTCGAACACATTCTCCGGGAAGAGGCAACAATGGCTGCGTATGATGTCATAGAGCTGTTCTGCGAGCTTCTGTGCGTGCGTTTGCCGATCATCGAGGCCAACAAGTGAGAATCCAAGTGCTACCCTCGCAATGTGTGCCTTGTTGACCACTTGAGTCTCGCTTGGCACCTCATTGTACGCCAGTCTTTTGACAGCGTAAGCACCCTGAGTGCAGAATCCAATCTTTGCGGGGGGAACAGCAATCCTGCTGATATTTGGATCTGCATTCGAGCCCCAATGTGCGTAGTGGCACTGAACATTTGCATCTGCAGGGACTGCCCTTATGATCTGAAAGAGGCTATTGCCAGCATCATCTTCGCTGCCCCTCGGTGCGCAGATCTGCCAGAGTTGCAGCAGGTCAGTTCCCGCATCCTTTGTCTTCTTGGATTGGCTCTGACACGGTTACCCTGTGCAATCCTCGTTTCGGACAGATATTGGGTAGCGTGCAGCTTTGATGCTCAGATCATGTTTGGTTTGAGCGGGTCCTGAGGCCTCCTTTCGATGTGCTTCAGGGATGTCGGCCCTCTTTGACAAGCATTCGTTTGCAACTCGCAGCTTAGAGGGCTCTTTGCTGCCAAGTATGGGAAAGAATTTGCAGCGGCGGCGGCGGAGTTGAGGCCCGACAGCGGTGTGAACAGGAGGGTGAGGCCCACGCTTCCACTTCAGAACATTCTTATGATCTGACTTGCATCTTTTTGTCTTGAGGAATATCTGCCGACATTTGATCCTGATTTAGGGTCAAGAAACTGAACTTGTACAAAAGTTAGAGTGTGCAAAGCATCTGTGAACTTCGAAGCAGAGCATCCAACGTGTTTGTTGTTTTCACTTTCATCATCGCAACAGTGTGACGGTTGCTGCTCATAACCTGATCCGCACAGCTGAGCATACACTTTCTCCTGTCCCCTTTAGCAGGGAATGTCGGATACACAGCCGGTCTCTTACACAAAATTTCCTTGACGAAAGAAATCGACGGTTGCCTGCTATTGGTCCTTATGTAGTTGCATATATGAAACCAATCGCTGGACGTTGATCAACTGAAGCGTTTGAAGTCACTTATCGTTCACGGAAGGAACACGCTTTGATAGTTCTTTCAACGCTTTCCTGTCGCAGATCATCGAGAAACTGGCCATCCGCCCTCCCTCCGGCGAGGTAAAGCTCCAGATGCTCAAGGACATTGCGGCTGAGCACAACTTCGAGTGGGACTCGTCCAATTCCGAGAAGATCCTGATGGAGCCAAAGCAAGACCTGCTGGTGAGTCTATCATATTTTGACATCGTATTCTTTGGCCCTGTCTGGTGAGTCCTACTTCGGCCTAAGGTTGTACAATTGGAGGACGTTCTCACTGTTAGCCGACCCCTCTCAGCGGATTTGTTCCTTGCAGAGTGTGCGCCGCTCTCAGTAAAAGGTCGACCCCGCTTCCTCTCTGGTCGCCTCTGCTCTCAACGTAACGCTTTGCAATCGTGGGCGGCTTCCATTGGCTTGTTTTGCGAGCTTTTTGTTTTAATACGGTGGTCAGGAATTCCCAAACAATGAGATTGTTTGAAGCTTCCGTGCTTTAGGTGATTCTCGGATCAAGCAATGGAAGAAATGTCACGTCGCAGAACAACAGTTCTGATTTGTTTTGCAAGGTTTGTTCCCAACCCTTTGTCACGGCCATTATGGCTATTCAGGTTCTCATCCAAACGTCCCCTGTTTTTCGCTGCAGGACGGCCCCCTCGCCAACCCCGCGCCCAGCCACACCGCGCCTCAGGTTACTCCCCCCCCGGCGACCGCGCCCCCGGCAAGTGCTTCGAAACTCACCCGGGAAGAATCGGCGATCCCCCCGCACCTCCTCCCGGGGGCCCACGACAACCCTCAGGAAGAGTACCGCCCTCCCCCCTCCCCCGACACCCCCCCCTACGCAGTGAACCACTCCGGCGCACAGGGGGATCCCTTTGCGGGGCTGACTTACACGGTGCCCGGGAGAGCGCAGCCGTCCCCGTTAGGCCCGGCCGTGATGGGGATGCCGGCGCGAACGCCGTCGATGGACGACGAGGAGCTTTTTGCACCGTCGAAAACGCAGGCCGAGACGGAGTACTCGCAGCAAGGGGGCGGCAGACGGCCCCCTGGCGGGCGCGAGGAGTATGCTGACGTAGCGGCGGCGGCGGCAGCCGCTGCTGAGTCGGCGGATCGGGCGGCGGCGGCGGCGCGGGCGGCTGCGAGACTGGCAGGGAGTCTGGGGGGAGAGCGGTCTCAAGGCCGGAGAGGAAAAGAGAGCGGTGGGCAGTACCGAGGCGGGAACGAGTACGACGAAGAGAAGGATTATTACAAGGGGGAGAAGCAGCTTGACAAGGGCGGGAAGCAGGAAAGCAGACAGGAGCCGAGCAACGGAGAGGTTCAAGCCAAGAGCGGGGGTCCATACCAGGGAGAGAATCAGTACCGAGGTGGGGGTGAATACAGGAACGAGAACCAGTATAAGAGTGAGAATCAGTACCGAGGGGAGGCCAGCACGGCGGGGCGGATGGCGAAAAGCGGGAGTGCTGGCAGCGACGGTTTCTTCTCGGAGCCCCGCAGCAATTCCGGGAACGGAAGCGAGGAGGGCTGGGGACGGGCGGAAAGCCAACGGAAGCCGCCCAAGGCTGTGAAAAGGTACGACGAGAACGAGGGTGGCGGAGAAGAAGAGGCTCCCAGCGGGGGACGGACTTTTGCCGAGATTGGAGCGCAGTTTGCACGGACTGGGTCTGCCGGGGGGAGTTCGTCTGGCAGCGGGAACGTCTTCGAAAAAGAAAAGTCCAAAAAGTACGACTCGCAGGACAGCATGGCGCGCCGGTTCGAGGAGTTTGAGACACGTGGCGGCTCGGGAGAGGACAACGCCGAGTCCGGGGGCGAGCAGGGGGGCTACGACGATGACGACGAAATTGATCTGCCGGGGCCGCCGAAGCACGACCCCCGGAAGCTGAACTCGTTCCGGGAGGGGCGCGATCCGTTCGACGAGGCGCCGGAACCCCCCCGCCCGGAAAAGGGGTCCTACATTCCCGCCGGGAAGGACGGCTACATCTTCTTCCACGACGAGAAGCGCAACGTGACGCTGGATGAGGTGCCCCCCCCGGACACGTTTGAGAAGGCCGGGAGGAGCGCCCTGCCTCCGCCCCCGGGTCATCCCGATCGGGACAGGGTGCTTAGGGCCGCGACTCCCCCACGAGGCAATTCGCCGATCAATGAGCGACGGGATGGCTCGTCAAACTTTGATGACCCGTTTGAGCTGCCGTCGGCTCCGCCCGCGGCAGACCTGGACGACCTGACGGCACGGTTCGAGGCGCTGAAGTCTAGGCATTGATTTCGTATTGTCTATACTTTAGAGTTAGCTCGTGAAGGTAACAAGGCAGCACATACTTCAGGACTAATTATCTTTTACGGTCCCTTTTGGTTCCTTGTGATCAGCAACCTCTGACATTGCAATTGCTGACGGTTGGGGCAAGCTTCAACCTCAAGCTTGTTTACATCAATGATTTTGGCTGCTGACTGGTGTCCGCCACCTAGGCAGGAACGCGACAATCATTCCCTTGCATGAGCCAGTATGAAGATTTGAGGCGGTGCCTTTGAACTAGGTACTCGACCGGCCAATCAACTCGCAGTCCTACTTCAATGCAAACCAGTCATATCAATGTGCATGGCGCACATCATGCATACAAAGAACGGGGTGACTCTCAAAGCTCGCCGGAGTACGATATATCACAATTCAAGTGAGCTGTAGCCCGGGCCCCTCGCAGTGTGTATACACGTACATATAGGTGCATGTGTGCGCATGCATGTACAACCAGCTGGTCGTGTATACAATCTCACACGCCATGCCCGGCCAGCTTAATTGACCTTGCATGAGTCACCGTGCTGCACTTAAAGGATTGCTCATGACAGCTCCCAGGCAGGCTGGCGCCGGAAGTAAATACTCTGCTGCAGCATGCAGTGGCGCGTGACGCCTGATATTGTCAAGTACCAATGATTATTGTATGCGTCCGGCCGGTGAGTCAATGATTGATTGCAGTTTAAGTGGATGTATATGGTCTAGCTGACGCTTTCTCCAAGAGATTGTGTATTCGGAGCACTCTGAATTACAAGCACATGCAGCAAGGGCCCCAATCCTGTGGTGGCTGTTTTTCAAAATGTTGGAGGGTAAGGCGCCCTACTGGCCGGATATTGCAGGAAAGTCACCATTTCAACCTCATAGGGCCTTGCCAAGAAGAGCTGTCAATCCCACATCTGCTTTTGCTGCGCAGCGCATCCTTCAAGTAGCTTTCGTGTTCAACAAATGAATTGCATGGCGAGTCATATCTCCATTGTCAAACTGTGTTGTTACCTTGGTGAGTCTAGCAGATTGCAATTCCAAACAACTTCGATGCTACGCTGCTGTTCTCAACCACCATGTAACGCAGCAGCTGACCTGCGCACCTCCTCAATGCAGCCAAAAATGTCAATGTCGCGCACCAGAACAAAATCTTCTGCATGATCGTCCCTACCAGAATTCCGGATCCACCGGATCCTCGTCCTTTTCATAAGTCAACTCTGCCTTCCGCGTTTGGGGCACAAACTCTCTAACGTCGGGCTCGTGGATCCCGTAATCATCCCGAAGCCGCGGGTACCGCACGTCCGCGTCCCGCATGAACTCCTTCCGCCGCGGCTTGCCGCCGCTCCGGTCGATGCCCCTCTCGCGGGGGTCCTCGTCTTGCATCTCCCGCGGGAAGAACACCATCTTATCGCTCTTCTTGTCCTTCCTCGTCTCCCAGACCGGCCTGTCCTTCGGCGCACCGCCGATGCGGATCCCGAAGATCTCAATCCCGCCTTTCTCCTCCTGACGGCCCCCGTGAGCTTCTCCCCCACGGCGCCCCCCGGCCGACGGAACATCCGGTTGGAGCATCTCCCGGGGGGCCTTTTTGAACATGTTCCACTCCCCCGGGACGCCCCACTTCTTCTCGTCCTCCTTCTTCTTCTCCTGGTCCCCCCGGACCACTTCCCTCTGCAGGGGGGTCAGCGACTTAGGCCCGAACAACTTGAGCTTGTCCCCCCAGTGCTCGCGCTCCTCTTGGGGCGCGTCCTCTGTGACGAAGCCCTGCGTCTCCAGGTCGTACCGGCGGCGCTGGTCGGATGCGTTCCACTGCTCTGTGTCCTTCTTGCTGCAAAGAAGCAAGCGGGAAAAAGATGAGGAGACCAGTATTGTTGGACAAAGGAGATTGCGAATAAGGTTTTTCAGCACGTGAGAGGACCACTTTTGACCGATGAAGGAGACTGGGTAGTTTTTTGACCGAAAGCGAAGTGGTTCTTTTGATTTTGAGCAAGAAAAAGGTTTTGACAAAAACTCGGTTCACCTTGCTGAGAAAAGTATACGGGGTTTCTGACAAAGCTGTTGAAAAGGAGGTTTTGATTCTCTTTGCTGTGAGTGGTTCATCAGACATACGCGCGCAGCGAATGTATAGCCTGCCCTGGTTGGGACACCGTGTCTGGTTTCGTAGGATGCAAGCTTCCAAGCAGATGCTCGATTAGCAAAGATAGCATTTGATATAGCGACGGCCTCTGACGGCGCCTCGCTTTTCAAGAAAGCCACCAGAATAAACCAAGAGCAAAAGTGTCTCGTGTTTGCTTCATAGTGGCACGGCTCCTTCGGAACTTGCTTGAGCAAGGCTCACAGGGAGGCCACCGCAGCTGACCAACGCCGCCTTCTCAACACGGGAACAAGGATTGGGTGGATGCTTTCGCTTTACACACCCGAACGCGGTATCTCGAAAAACAGAGACTCAGCTAGTCCCGAGTAAGCACCTGCGCAGGCCATTGATGAAGGTCCAGGCGGACATGGGGCTGAACTGGCGGTGCTGCGCATACAGCTCCTTGACGTTCTTGCCCCCCACGCGCTTCTCCTGGGGCGTGCGCTGACGCAGGCGCTCACGGGACGCCTCCAAAAATTCCACGTCCTGATCGTCCAGGTCTGCAGCGAGAAGAACCGAAAACATTCTGGTCCGAAATGTTGACAACTGATGGCTTCGGTCACTTTATGGAGATTTTAGTTGTTTTCTCCATTTCTCCTGATCAG